ATATAGCATGAAGAAGGCGGGTGCTGAGGGAAACTGATCCTCGGGACCTTGGGGCAAGGCAATGTCCTCCTCCCCGTCCTCTTCCTCCTCCTCCTCCTCCTCCTCCTCCGATCCTTTTCCTTTTAGATAACTCCCCCCTGTCGCACCCCGAGGCCGGTCGAAAGGGCGGGCCGGGCTGTTCGCCTGAGACTTCCTCACCATTTCTGATCCTGAAGCTTCAAATGTGCAACAGGCTTCCGAAAGGTGGCTCTCGCCTTAGCGCCGCGCACCTTCGTCAAACAAATTGCAAGAGCTTCACAGATGGAGGGCGGCCCGTTTTCAATATGTGGCTCTCGCCGTAGCGCCGCGCACAGTAGTTTCAAACATTCGCTAACTTTTCATGGATGTAGGGCGGTTCCTTTCCAAAGTGTGGCTCACGCCTCAAGGCCGTGCACATTCGTCGTGAAGGTTTACAAGGGGTTGACGGGTGGAGGGCGGTTCCTTTTCAAAATGTGGCTCTCGCCTCAGCGCCGCGTACATTCGTCTTAAGAGTTTGCAAGAGGTTCAAATATTCGCATGGTTAACGTCCCACAAGTGGTGTTTAGGCGCGATGTCGGGTCAGGGCGCACCAGCAACCTTGATTCGCGACGTAGGACTCCCATGACTTGTGTTCTTGCCCAGGTCAGGACCGCCAAGGCGCAACAATTACGAGGATTCGCGGCGTTGAAGTCCAAGAAATGATTGTCTGGCACGATTCCTGATTTTCAAACGGTTGTCTTCCGACGGGGCATCTCGATCAGTGACAATGAATCCGTGGATGAGCCTATGATGAGGGAGCTTGGAGGGAGGGTGTATTGCAATCTCGTTGATGAGTCTTGGACGTGCACTGGTCCCCCCCCTCCTCTTCCCCGCGCCCGTCTGCGCAGGACGCGCCTGGCGCGGCCTTGGATTGAGGGGCTCGGGGGGAGCGAGGAGCGGGGCGGGCCTGAGGGGCTCAGCTAAGCCACACAGTTGGCCCCACCACCTCCTTATGGGGAACCCTGCGGGTGCTGCAGTTCTTCTCAAACTCGGGTTCCCGCTCGCACCTGTAAGCTGTATGCTGGGATTGGGAGGGGGCGCCTGGGGCGAATCGCTGGTCGCCTGCTACCTGAAGTGCTCGCTGAGGTGTGCACGCCCAGAAAAGGAAGCTTAGAGTCTTGCGGTCCTTCTCCTTTTCTTTTTTGCTTTCTTTTTTCTCCCCCGCGACAAGGGAAAAGAAAAACCTGTCGTGGCCTTTCACGTCGGTCCTGGATCTGAGGGACTTAGCTCACTCCGTAGATCTCCGACGCCGTGTCTTTCCGCTCCTTTTTGGCGCTCACGTGATCGACCCCATCGCTGGAGCCGCTGGCCTTGTCTCGCGAGCCTTCCCTTTGTTCCGCGGCAGCCAGCAGCGGTCGAAACTGAGGAAAGATGTTCGCATTGAACGGCCAAGAAAGTAGAATTCGACAGCGAGTTGCGACATCTTGAAACAATTAGGGCTCCTTCTCCCTCGTTTCCCCAGGGCCGGCACAAATAGTGGCGTCCTGATAAGCTGGAAGGCGAACATCGCGCGGATGTTCCGCCGACGCAGCGCCTGGGCGAGGGCTCCCTCTCGGGCATGAGGGCGGGTCGCGAGGGCTTCAGGCCAGTGCCACTGCTTTTTCTCCTTCTCCTCCACCTCCTCCTCCTCCTCCTCCTACTCCCCCTACTCCTCGTTCTTCCCTCTTGCATCTGCTCCTCCCTCATCCCTGCTCCTACCTCCTCTCCCTCTTCGCCCTCCTCTCTCGCCCTTCTCCTCCCGCCTCCTCCTATCTCTTCCCTCTCCCCCCCTCCTCCTCGTCCTCCTCCTCGTCCTCCTCGTCGTCCTGTTCGTCGTCCTCCTCGTCGTCGTCGTCGTCCTCCTCCACAATTACTCAATATGAATACTACTCTCCCTCTTCCCCTGATGACGTCTTTTGCGTACTCGCCCCCCCCTGCGTACTGTTTTTTTACACACACGATTCCCCGGAGTTGGGTTTTCGCCTGCGTTTTTTTCAAAATGCTGCTCTCGCTGAGGCGCCGGCCTCATTTTTGCTCCCGAATCGTTCCGAATCGTGCTCCCTTTGCAGCTTGGGCCTCAGTTTCGGATCGGTGTTTTGCTTCCGTCGTTCAGGATGGCGTTCTCGCCCCAGCGCGGGCGTCTTTCTCGCGCGCCCATCCACCCGCCACCACCGCGCCGCACCACGTCCCGCCACGCCGCACGCACACCCACCGCCACTTCCACCCACCAACGCACGCACGCACGCACGCGCACCACCACCGCGCACCGCCACCACCACCGCACTACCCCACCCACCACCACCACGCTACACCGCGTCACACCACATCACACGCGCGCACACACAGACACACACGCACGCACGCACGCACACACACACACACATACATACGCACACACACACACACACACACGCACACACACAGACACACACACACACACACACACACACACCCCACCACCGCCACCATCACCACCGCCATCACGCACGTTCGCACCTGGCCCACCACCAAACCACCAAGACGCCACACCACGTCACACCACAGCACGCGCGCACACACGCACACACACATACCCACCACCACCACAACAACCACAACCACGCACACACGCACGCACGCACGCGCACCACCACCCACTACGCACACGCGCGCGGAGCCACAGGTCCGCTACGACACGCGTCCGCGGATAGACAAAATCAGCGCCATGGTAAGGGATGGGAGGGAGGGGTAGGATGTCAGATGTTGACGCGAGCGCACCTAACTTGTCTTCTCCACCTCCCCCTCCTCTTCCACTCCTTTATTATGAATCGCTCCTCCCTGTCGCACCCCGAGGCCAGTCGAAAGGGCGGGCCTGGCGTTCCGCCTGAGCTTTCATCATTGATAATCCTGAGGCTTCAAATGTGCAAGATATTCACGGATGGAGGGCGGCCCGCTTTCAAAATGTGGCTCTCGCCTTTGTACCGGGCACACTCGTCGTAAACATGTGCAAAGGTTGTCAATCATGGAGGGCGGTCCGTTTTCAATATGTGACTCTCGCCTTGAGGGTCCGAAAAAGGTGAAAATCATTGAGTTCCAATGAGTTTTTGAAGGGTTGTGGCATCTGCTTCTTTCCTGCCTTCCGACGATCCGGGACGGCCCAACTGCCCCCAAAGATCGCCCAAGAGGCTCAAGACGGCCCTATAAGGCCCCCAAGACGGCCCAAGAGGCCTCCAAGACGCCCAAGACTCCTCCTCCTCATCTCCTCCTCCTTTTGTTCCTCCTCCTTCTCCTCCTCCTTGTTCCTTCTCCTTCGCCTCCTCCTTCTTCCTTCTCCTCCTACTCCTCCTCATGATCTCCCCCGCCATCTTCCCAGAAGTGTTCCCCGAAGGGTTTCCACAACAGCTGGGGGAATACATGGTCCGACAGCTTGGCAGAGCTCTTGCCACAACGCTCGGACATATGAGCGCTTTCAAACCTCTTGCCCCCCCCACACACACACACACACACACACACACACACACACACACACACACACACACACACACACACACACACACACACACACACACACACACACACACTTTTACCATGCGAACAGTGCGCCCCGCGGCCGAAAGGGAGGAGGGGGGGGAGGGAGGAGCAGGAGAAACGCCGAATTAAATACTCTAGCGGCCCCGGCCGGACCCGCAGCCGCGCCTCCGGAACGGTACGCCAGGCCTCCGCGCCACTGCCGGCGCGCGCCGCTGGCGCGAGCAGCAGCATCGCCGCCCGCGGGGACAGCGCCGGCGCCCACCCTGGGCAGGGCCTCGCCGACAGCTGCGCCCACAGCGCCGCCGAGGCGCCCCAGCGCAGGCATGCCACCCATCCTGGGCCCTGCGCCGCAGCGTGCCCTCCACGCGGCGCCTGCGAAAAGGGCGCGCGCAGGCTCGGCTGGCGCAGGAGGCGCGACGGCCCCGCCTGCCTCAATCGCTGCCTGGGTCCGTCGCCGCGGCGGCGGACGTGGGGCTGGAACCGCCGGCGCCGCGGGCAGGGGCCGAGCACTCCAGGCGGCGCCGGGCCCCTTCGCGGCCGTCCACCGGCGGCGCACGCGCGGGCCCTCGGGCCCGTGGCTCTCGTGGTTGGCCCGCCAGGCCGCCAGCTCGACCGCGGCGAGCACGCGCTGCGCCGCGGTCAGCGCCGTCAGCCGTCAGCTGGAAATCGCGTTCCACGCAGATCTCTGTCGGAGTGAAGCGGGCTCTGGCAGCCGCTCCCGCCAGGCGGTCGGCAGCCGCATCGCCCCCCCGGTCCTCAGCGGACAGCCCCCTGGCGAGCGCTTCCTCGGCTGTCGTGCGACCCTTGACCCATCGCGCCGTGAGGAACCCGCTCTGGCTGTGCGCCGCGACGCGCTCCCAGAGGTCGGAATGCGCTCGCTCGAGGTAGCACGCGCCGGCGCGCAGGGCGACTACGCCATCGCGGACGAAGCGGGAGTCCGTAATAACCTCTACGGTCGCCCACGCAAGGCTGACTGCGTGGACCGCAGCGGTCAGCTCTGCCCGCTGCGCGGTCTGCCCGCTGCGCGGTCTGCGCAGCGTCCACTGGGCCGCTGTGGTCGCTCATGCCGCTGGGACCTCCCAAACGCAACCCCCAGGCCGTCTGGGCCAACAGCGGGTTCCGCGGCCGCTCGCACGCCCCGTCGGTCCAAGCCCTCGCGCGCGGCTGGAAGCGGGGCTGGCGGCAAGGCCCGAGTGGCCTCCTCGGCGAAGGCGGCAAGCCGGACATCCGTCGACAGCGCGCCCGCGTTAGCCACGCCTGGCGGCAACCGCGCAAGCAATGCGTCCTGTGAGATCTCCGCCGTCGCCAGGGCGGCCGCCCTGTCGACGCCCCAAGCCGGGCAGACCCAGAAGCGGTGCTCGCGGTCCTCGCGGGCGGCGCCGCAATGGGGGCATCGGGCTGTCCTGCCCCACTTCGCCGCCACCGATTCCGTGACGACGTTCCCAGACATCAGTGCGCGCAATGCAAGGCCCCGGCCGCGTCTGGCGCTAGGGCCCCCGACTCCAGTAGCCGCCTGGTCGCCCAGCGGTCCACCCCACGCGCGACATGCGCGAAGTCAGCCCTTCTGCCTGCCACGGCAGCCGCCTCTCGGCGCGCCCATGCCTCAAGGAGAACGGCGCGCGTGGACTGGAGTGGCTGGTCGGCGGGCCGCCACCCGTCCGGGCGAGCAGGGGCGCCAGTCCAGCGCTCGACGTCGTCGCCGAGGCGGAGCTGCGCCAGACTCCACGCGGCCGCGGCGACAGGGCCGGCGCAGCGGCCGTGCCCGGCCGCTCGGGCTCCGTCCGTTGCCCGCGAGAGCGCTGAGGGGAAGCGTCCTCTGCGGAGCGACTTCGCCGCCCGCCACAACGGCGCGAAGGCAACGACCGCCGCTGGGTCCAGCCGCCACGTCGGGCTCAGGACCCTGAGCACCACTTCTGCGGCAGCGCGGAATCCGCCTCGGCACACAGCCTGCCTCGCCGCCGCCCGCAGTCCGGCCAGCTCCTTCGCCGGTGGGCGGCCGCGCGAAGCGCCGTGCAGTCCTGCCGCGGTGCCGGCGGCGGCGCCCAGCATGCATCGGTGCCGGAACTCCAAAGAGAGCCGCCCGATCTGCGCGAACCGTACTCCAGCGGCGCGCGCCCTGGAACCTTCAACGGCGCAGCGGGGCACTCGACCCGCGGCGGCGTTCCCACCACGCGTTCCCCGAAGGCTCTCTAAACCGATTCGGGGAACAACTGGCCCGCTAGCTTGGCCAGGCTCTAGCCAAGCTGTCGGCCATATAAGCGCTTCCACAAGGCAGGGGGCGGTGGTGCTTCGCCGTAGGCGTCTTAGATCCGCCGCCCCCTGCCGATTCATCGCAAGGGTGCCTGGCGTGCTAGACGATTTCGGTTTTGGCTTTGGTTCTTTTTCCAAAAGAACTCCCCCTGGGGCTCCGGCGCGTCCCGCCGGGGTCCCGGAGGAAGGTGGTTGCCAACGGTTTTCCTGGCCCAGACGGCCCCAAGATGGCCCAAGAGGGCCAAGATGGCTTCCAAGACGGCCTCCAAGACGGTCCAAGAGAATCCAAGACGGCCCAAGACGGCCCCCAGAGGCCTCCAAGACGGCCCAAGAGGCCTCCAAGAGGTCCTCCAAGGGGTCCTCCAGGAGGGCCCGAAGAGGCCGAAATCATTTATTTGTCTTTAGTTTTTGAAAGATTTTGGCATTCGCTTCTTCTCGGCTTTCCGACGGCCCAAGAAGACGGGCCAAGAGACCCCCAAGATCGCCCCCACAGCGCCCAAGAGGCCTCCAAGATGACCTCAGGACTGTCCAAGAGGCCCCAAAGACGGCCCCAGGAGGGCACAAAGACGACTCAAGAGGCCTTCAAGACGGCCAAGATGGCCTCTGAGACGGCCCTGGAGCACCCCGAGAGGGCCCCAAGTCGGCCCAGAAAGGAACCCCAAACGGCTTCCGACGGCGTCAGACGGGTCAGGAGCCTACGAAGATGGCCGAAGTTGGCTCAAAGCTGGCCCAAGACGGTCCAAGAGGCCTCCAAGAGGGCCTCCAGGA